TTTGCTGAATATGCATCTAATTTATTTAAAATGAATGATTTATAAGGCCGATATTTTAAACTAAGCACTTAATAAATATACACTAATGACAGCAAAAGGATTCCTTTCTTGACAACATTCTCTTCATAATATGAAAGGAAAATTATAAGTAATTCTTTGAAAATTATTTTAATTATCTCCCAATAATAAGCTTCAAATACATATTCATTATATAAATATTACCAATTGCATCTTGTGCTTTTTTTATGTAATGTATTTTAATTGATATACAATGAAATAAAGAAATAATATGGAATATTTAATGCAATAAGGCTTAAAATAGGTATGCAAAATTATAATAGCCATTAATAATGTATTTGGGTATCATATCTGTAAGAAAAATTAGCTTAAATCCAAAGAAATCCTGAGATTTACCGATATGAGATAAGTGAAATCAATGCTCCAACCAAATATGGTTAGAGATAGATGTACATATATATTAGAGTTGTAGTTATTACATTCAAATTAAATTTAAGAGTTAATATTATTAAAGCAAAGATGTAGACACATAAAAAAATGCATATGTACATGAAAGGCATGATAATTTGCCATAAAATTATTGAATAATGAATTTCGAAATCAAATATATCCTTTAAAAAACAATCAAGAGAATGTTTCATTGTTTGTATTGGATTACTTATAGCGTTAATGACATTATCAATACTAATTAATGAGGAGAATTTAAAAGTAAAAACAACTGAGAGTATTTAAAGGTGATTAGTAATCATTTTTATTAAAATTCCAAAATTAGAGTGATATTAAATTCTTTTGAAATTAATCTTGAAATTACTCTTTTCAACATCATTTGTTTATTTAATGAAATATTACTCCTAACTGTGATTAAAATCGATATTAAAGTCCTTAAGGTAATTAACATATATACCATAAGCTAATGCCTGTAATAACAATTATATTTTTACGAGCATGTTTATTAGAAAAATGCTTAACATGTCTTAGAAGTATCTTGTACAATCATTCCCATTCAAGTGATATACATATCCTGTATTTACATAACATTATGTTGAGTTAGTGGTATTAATCGTTTTGCTAATGATATGGAAGCACTTATGCATTCATCATAAAGGGAATCCCAGTAACAAAGAGCTATTTCTCTAAGTGTATAGGAGGTGTATATATAATTGCAATCAGATTGGCCATTGTATTAATTACATGATTGAGTGATGCATTCAAAAGAACATTCAATTGACATCTTTTACTTTATAAACTGTAAACTTCAATATCAATAATCTATTTGCAATTGTTCATAGTTTAACACTAATATCATCCCAAACACAATAACCAGCCACAACTTTATTATAATAATTATTGCATATAGCTCCATTTAATAATTTGCTGCATTCTTCTGCTACATAACATTTACAAAAGCTTCCTGAGATTGTATCAGCAACAAATTATGTTCAATTGACAGAAGCTGTATACAAGCAGAAATAGTTGACTTGTATGAATACTAAGGAGAAGCCAATAAACATTCTCATTAGGATAATTCTTTACATTTACATAGAGATTTGTAAGTTTGATTTAGACTCTATGAGTTGCATGATACTTTTCATGAAGATGGTATTTACAATGGAAATTAAATAGTACCACATGACACACACATTCCTGCAGATTCATTGTTGGCACTCCATCTAAAAGTGTTACCAGTACTATTAAGGCAGAATTAAGAAGTTTATAAGGTTGAATAAGCATTTTCACAAGCTCCTTGTGGTCCTAGTGAATTATTCCATCAACACAATTAGTACTAAGTAGATTAATTAAGATAGGACATAGGTAGGTCAATTATTAGCATTATTAATTTTTTGCATCCCACATGCATTTAATTCAACCAATTCCATAAATTGTAGCATCAGTTATTTAATTACAGCAATATAATAGGGAACATGAATAATTAGAGTTATTCCAAACACAAAGGTCTTAAATACTAATAAATTAAGATCAATTTATTTATTGTTGTTAATTATTGCAAGTAGAAGAAATAATTGAAGTAATAATATAATTACTTCCTTCATAACAAGCACATGATAAACTTTATACAGCACATCCAACTGCACTCACCTTAAATGTTACAATTAATCATTAATCCAATAGCAAGGTCCATTTTACCAAAATTATAGGAACATATATCTTATGGGAAATCAATAATATTAGAAGTGATTTCACTATAATTCAATCATTAATTTTAATGTTGTATTACTGAACATGAAGGAGGATTTAAATTTGGATTCCATCAACAATAAAAAGCTGCTGTTAGGCAATCAGTTTTTTATAATAATGAGCAATTGTTCTATTAACATTAGTTTGTTCCATCTAACCATATACAACCTGGCAATGTGTCACAATCATTATGATTTGTTAATTGTGTACAACCACAGATAGTTTGTGTCTTCACTATAATTTATGTAGCACCGAAACCTATTCGAATAGAGAATAAGATGTATGATTTCATTAATTTTAATATTAATAAATCCAAATCCAAATTACCTATTTTAAGTTTAATTTCTGCACTTTTGATTACGTCCATCATCAATAATAATTATTTACTTTATTTTCTATATTCTATGTATTATCCTACAACTTCCAATATCTTATTTTTTTATCAAATCCATTATACTTATTTCCAAGAAACTTCTATAATTTACATATTTCTTTATTCTATCATCTGTTTTATGACCATTATTTTATGGAATAATATTTTATACTATCATCTAATATATTTAAATTAATCATTTAGAATTTATAGAAAGCCATTAAACTTTGCTGAATCTCATTATCCAAAAAAATTTATAGAATTTAAATATCTAATTTTTATATATGCGTTTGAATAAAAATACACTATTGCTAACTTCATCTATTTTCTGATTGCACATCTCCCTAAGTTGATATAGAACTGTATTCAAAGTCTTCCCAGTAGATAATCTTGTGTATAAGATTTCATTAAAATCATGATATTTCTAATTTACTAGGTTTAAAAGTTTTACTTATATTTCCTACTAATTAAATAAATTCAGACTTAATTATATATGATTAGGTCATGTCAAATTAATATTATTAAATCAGATTGAGTGTATTGATTATATCATAATTTATTCCATTTAAGATAAAATATTCAGGAAGAAGGATTAGTAAGTTGAAAATTAAAGATGTTTGAATCAGAATTTCACTATCAATTCAACCATAAACAAAGAGTATCAAATAACAGTAAATTATCTTATATATATTTAATAGAATTTTGAAGAATTATTATAAAACATAGATGATTTTTTAGAATAACATAAAGAGATATAGACAAACCAAAAAGTAAATAATGAAGATGATTTACTAAAAAAATATAACAATTTGGAATGGTTTATGAGTTTGATGTTTGTTAATAGTATAGAACAGCTTAAATAATAATTGATAGAAGAATAATAAGTAATATATTAATAAATAAGCAATAATAAAATTAGCTATTAAAATGAATGGTAATAAAACAAATATCATGGAAGAGGAAAAAGATATCAATGAAAATTACAAAAATTAAATAAAGAAATTGAGTGCTAATTATAAATTGGATGAATTTATTAAGAATAACAACAACTACAAAAAAACCAGAAAAAAAAATTAATAACTTCTGGACAAATGTTAATAAAAATGGAATATAAATTTCAATATATTTATTATTATTTTTTTATTGATATTTTCCAATCAATTTTCCTCATTTTTTCCATAATTTAAGCTGTTATTATTAAAGTAATATTTGATTCTAAAAAAACCATCATCCTGTGAATGAATACAAGTAGATCTAGCTATTTTTTTTGAATAGTAATTATATTACAAAATCAAGCAAAATTGTTAATAAAGTCAAAAAAAAGACGAATTCTTATTAATTTAGAAACATGCATTTTTCCTTTATTATAAACATTTAATAATAAAAAGTATTATATACCTTAAATTATTTTTAGAAAAAATATTAAGATATAATTTGAATTATCACAATACTTAATTATTATTTATTATTAACAGCTTACAAATAATCCCTAGATAAATTTCTATAAAATTATTTATTCTATTCTTTTTTAGAGTTTCTGATACTTATAATCTTAAGATAAGCATCAAGAATTAATTCAGCAATTACCTTTATATTACAATTTGAAGAGCCTTTTCATTATATAATCTATTCAGAAAAAGAGAAATTTGGTGTAAACCATAGGAAAATCTTCTTAAAGGGAAGACTTCTATATAAACTATAATATATTCTTTTAGTTACAAGATTAAAATATAGGTGATTAAATTGAATATAATTAATTCAATTTCATAATTGTTACAAAACCATCCTAAATTTACAATAAAAATATAAAATCTTCTTAACTTTCAAGATAGCAATATTAATCACACTAATTTATAAATTTACTATTTTTAGACTCTTAAAAATATAGTAAGATTTCGTTGATTAATAAAATATTATATAATCTCATGAAATAGTTTCTTTTTTATAATATATTTATTTCAAATTTCTTCGTGTGAAGAGCTAGTTTAGCAATGGTATCATCAAATCTACATTTTGGTCTTGAAATTGAAGAACGACTTTTATATATTCATAATAAATAAATTAGAATTTAAATGTATTTTATATAATTTCGAGATATATTAAAAGCATAACATTAGGTTATTTAAGGAATTAACAGAAAAGATAATAAGTAAAGACTCAATTATATGTTTAAAATTTAGTAGATGAACTGGCAATATTGTTTTCTTAAAATTGATATTGATATCTTTAATTATCTCTAACTTTATATTTAAATTAATATGTAATAGAACCTAGTTTATTGTTTGAATCATCCTAATTCTTTGGTAACTCATATATGCACAGGACTGCATATATGCCAAAGAAAACTTTGCCCAGTATGTTAATATGACCACTAAATTATTATAACAGGAACTTAAATACTTCCTTTGGAGACTTTTAAAAATAATCTTCAAAATAATATAGAGTAATTCTAATTAAATGATTCAATTCGACTTGATAGAGCTAAACAAGAATTCAAAAAAGCAATTGTTTAAATCGAATAAACATTCTTCTCTTTGATCAAGGAGATGATTGAATCTTCTAACCAAATATTTCAAGAGATTGAAAAAATAGATAAATATTATCTAGATTTGTTAAATTCAAACATTGAAGAATCTAGTAATTCTAAGCTTTATAAAATATCTGAAATTCTATAATTGAATCATCTCAATTTGTGGTAATAACAAAAACAATATTGTTATTCCAAACTTTATGAAAACAAGCATAATCTAATTTAGATATGTGAAAGTGCAGCAATTAAAATGAGAGAAAAAATAAAGACTACTAATTCTGAAAAAATAGGGTAAATATTTAATCTCTATAAAGATTGAATGTCTTTCAAAATTCTAAATTATTAGGAATTAATCATTGTGATTTTATTTATATAAATAATGAGATAATCTCAAAAGTAAATCACTTGATAATATTTTAGCAAGGAAATATGAAGTTAAACTAAAGAACAGGTGTGTTTGACATTTTAGGGTTTTCCTAATATGAAAATACATTAAAAGCCTTTTAAATTGAGTTTTAACAAGGAAAATTATGCTACATAGCAGATGGAAAGATATTAAGGATGTATATCTTTATTATTTAATTAGCGAGATTAATAATGATTAAAATTCTATTAAAGAGATAATTACAAATTACGATTAATTATGTAATTTGAAATGGATAAGAGAAAAAAATTAAACTTAATATCAAATTGAATTATGGGAGGCTTAATGGGGAAAATAACATCTAGGATTAGAAGGGTTTTATGATAAATAAGGAAGGAAATAGTACTTTTGGATTGAGCCATGTAGCAACTATAGGTTACTTAAGGAATTTAATCTAGTATTCAACTTCAAGTAGTTTATGCAGGATATTATAAGAATGGGAAAAAATAAGGAAAGTGGAAATTACTGAAGAAAAATTCAAATGAATTTGTCACAATGTAAATTATAAGTTATATAAAGTGGTGGAGGAAATTATAATGAGTTTGATGTGAAAGAAGGCTAATGGATAGAATTATGTGATGAAATATTACCTTAACAAAATCAAATAATAATTGATATTGGCAAATATAATGATGGACATAAGATGGGAACTTGGAAAAAATATATATATGAAGAATCCATTTTTACAAAAAATAAATTAATGTTAGTATTTAGTTATTTTTAGTGGTGGAGGAGAATTTCATTTTGGAATTAAAAATGGGAAATGGAAAGAGATTCATTATAGTTTTAAAGAGTAATTATTGTTTATTATTAAAATAAATAGAGAATTTTAAGTCATTTTGGTTGGTGCTTATAAAGATGGATTAAAGATTGGTGAATGGAATATTCATATAAAGTAAAATAATGAATAATAATTAACTATGTAAAGCATTAATTTTCTTATGTAGCGGAGGAGGAACTTATAATAATTTAGGTTAAAAGAATGGATTATGGAGTGAATTAAGTAATTGTTTTCATTAATCTCATTTCACTATTTTTAATGGAAAATATTAGAATGGAATAAAGTAGGAAAGATGGATGATATAACATAAAATGAAATAAAGCAATTCTATTGAAATATTGTAATAGATATTTAATAATATTCATAGAGGAGGTGGTGAATATGATGAATAAGGATTAAGGAATGGAGATTGGATTGAAATATTTTAGAATTATGATAAGTAAAATAATTATTTTATTAGATATTCTTAAATAACATTTAAAGGAAGATATCTAAATGGATTAAAATAAGGATAATGGGATATATTGTATTCAAACAATAAAATGTGTATCTTTAATATTAGAATTAATAGTGGTGGAGGTAATTATAATAAAGATGGAGAAAAATAAGGAAAATGGACAGAAGTTCATGAAAATTTTAATATATAGACATGCAACATTTTGTATGTAGGAATGTATATGTAAGGGAAAAAATTAGGATAATGGGAAATCACAATATAATCTAGAGAAGAATAAAAATAAAAAATGTATTTGACTTACTATAGAATAGTTGTGGTAGTTTTGAATAAAATGGATTGAAAAGTGGATAATGGATTGAAATCAACTAAAAATATTAAGAATACGATGTTATATATTAAAATGGTATTCAAAAGGAAGATAATGAGCAAAATTAAGATATTTAAATCTGAATAATAGTTAAAAGTATTTGATATAGTTATTATGATAAATTATTATATTAATAAATTTAATAAAACACATATGTAGTTTATAGTATTACAATGGAGTTCTAAATTAATAAGATATATATTCCAAACATTTTATTGATATTAACAATAATATGATATCACATATCATTATTTCCTCATTAAAATCCTAATCAATATAAGTTTTGATTTCCTTTCTATTCTATAGAAGATACATTAAAGGTCATTGCAGCTATTACTAGAAAAATATCTCCCCATTCTAACCAAACAGTTATGGTTCTCAAACTTAAAGCCATAAATATGGATATGTTAGTCAATGTAAATCTAAAAAAAATTGCAGTTTATCCTTCAAAATAACATGTAAATTATAATATTAATGAAATAATTAAAGAAACATAGAATAGCCAAGTAGAAGTAGAATGAATTATACAATTTGCTCCTCCATTGCTCTTACACTGAATAGAGTCAAGTTACCAACAGTCGAAATTCATATTCACAAACCAATTTAGCATTTTCTGTGTATAGTCCTAAAGCAATCATTCCCAAATTTATAAAAAACTTAATTGTCAATAAAAAGTACAATTTCTTTAGAAAATGAATCCTAACTTAGACATTTTTAAATTCAATATATTCTAAAGAATATGAACATAAATACATTAAAATGAATCCATCTTCTAAGCTTTTTCAACTTATGTTTCAAATAGTGATGGATTCTCATATTATTTTAAAGTATCCTTATTTAACAAATAATTATCTTGGTTATAGTTTTTGTTCATTTTATTGAAGATAATGAAAATATTAAGCTGGAATATTCGTAAATAAAAGATAAAAACATTTATTAAACTATCCCATATTTTTATTTTGAATGTATTTTTAAAGTTATGAAGAAATATAAATTTATATTATACTAAAATTTAGATCTATAATTCATTATTTTTAAATATCGAATTGGATATTGTGAATATTATAATACGTTCATAAAATTATGATGTTTGATGTTAACTTTTTAGAGGTTTTGAGTTTTTAATTTGGTAATATTATTTTGAAAATTTGGATAATTTGGGTAATTTAGAACTCTATAGAACCATTAGTTAAGCCATTTAATTTAATTTTAATATTGCTAACTAATACTTCTTAAGTAAAATAAATGACTTAATAATAAATTTAATCTATCATAGATTAACTAAAAAGTCTTAGGAAAAAAAGAATTATAACCTAATTAATATTTTGAGATTTGATGATTTTGTTTTAGATATTAATAAAATAATATATTAGATAAAATATTTAAAAAATTCTATTTATGATTAATTTTGATATAGGAATAATTGAACAGTATTTTAGATGTTAATAACAATAATAATAATGGATTAGATAACTTTAATTTGGAAAAATTTCGAAATAACATTCAGGATGTATTTAANCTCATTAAAATCCTAATCAATATAAGTTTTGATTTCCTTTCTATTCTATAGAAGATACATTAAAGGTCATTGCAGCTATTACTAGAAAAATATCTCCCCATTCTAACCAAACAGTTATGGTTCTCAAACTTAAAGCCATAAATATGGATATGTTAGTCAATGTAAATCTAAAAAAAATTGCAGTTTATCCTTCAAAATAACATGTAAATTATAATATTAATGAAATAATTAAAGAAACATAGAATAGCCAAGTAGAAGTAGAATGAATTATACAATTTGCTCCTCCATTGCTCTTACACTGAATAGAGTCAAGTTACCAACAGTCGAAATTCATATTCACAAACCAATTTAGCATTTTCTGTGTATAGTCCTAAAGCAATCATTCCCAAATTTATAAAAAACTTAATTGTCAATAAAAAGTACAATTTCTTTAGAAAATGAATCCTAACTTAGACATTTTTAAATTCAATATATTCTAAAGAATATGAACATAAATACATTAAAATGAATCCATCTTCTAAGCTTTTTCAACTTATGTTTCAAATAGTGATGGATTCTCATATTATTTTAAAGTATCCTTATTTAACAAATAATTATCTTGGTTATAGTTTTTGTTCATTTTATTGAAGATAATGAAAATATTAAGCTGGAATATTCGTAAATAAAAGATAAAAACATTTATTAAACTATCCCATATTTTTATTTTGAATGTATTTTTAAAGTTATGAAGAAATATAAATTTATATTATACTAAAATTTAGATCTATAATTCATTATTTTTAAATATCGAATTGGATATTGTGAATATTATAATACGTTCATAAAATTATGATGTTTGATGTTAACTTTTTAGAGGTTTTGAGTTTTTAATTTGGTAATATTATTTTGAAAATTTGGATAATTTGGGTAATTTAGAACTCTATAGAACCATTAGTTAAGCCATTTAATTTAATTTTAATATTGCTAACTAATACTTCTTAAGTAAAATAAATGACTTAATAATAAATTTAATCTATCATAGATTAACTAAAAAGTCTTAGGAAAAAAAGAATTATAACCTAATTAATATTTTGAGATTTGATGATTTTGTTTTAGATATTAATAAAATAATATATTAGATAAAATATTTAAAAAATTCTATTTATGATTAATTTTGATATAGGAATAATTGAACAGTATTTTAGATGTTAATAACAATAATAATAATGGATTAGATAACTTTAATTTGGAAAAATTTCGAAATAACATTCAGGATGTATTTAAAATTAAAAATGATGATAAATTTTCTCATAAAAGAAGTTAATGTAAATCATAAAAGGAATGATCATAAAATTGAGAATGTAGTTATTCAAGGTTCTTAACTCAATATAGGATTAATTTATTGTTAATATTGCTTTTTATAGAATAACAATAATATCAATTATCAGTATTCCTTGAATCTAATGTAATTCTTAGAAGATGTTTTCAATTTATTGTTTAAATTTTTAGTTTATTTTCAAATGATTAATATTAATAATTTAATTGTAATTAACATTTGATACTAAATCAATAAAAAAAGACATTATTTTTGGAAAATTAATAAATTTATTTTGGAAATAGAATCTGCTTTGTTCTATCCTGAAGATTTTATCGACGATTTTTTGGAAATAGCCATTTCTAAAGAATAAACAGATTTTAGATTAATTAAATAATTTAAGGATACATAACAACACTTTATACCATATAGATCCTATATAAGCTTACTCCCAAAAGTCACATATTGAAAAAAATTTCATTCCTAATCTGATTATATTTACTAATAAAAAATTTCTTCTTAGTTTCTTGCAATTTTAGGAACCAATAATATTACAATTTATGATATAAAAAGTGGAATTAAATTCAGCATTATAAATGTAGGATATTAAAATAACAATATTTAATTATTTTCATTTACCAAAGATCAAAATGACTTGATATTGGCATCAGACAAGCCTATATACTACTTAATTTATAATATGAAAGAAAAGTAAATACAATAAATGTAGAATTCATAAGAATCATTTATTGAATGTATTAATTACAATAACTAAAACTACTTATTTTTTTATGATTAATGTTTCAAAATCTTGTCTTAGAACAATAAACATTTTGTGATTGTAAAATTTTCAAACAATTTTCCTATTTAGATAATACTATTTAAGTAGTCACGTTTTATAATTAAATTGAAAGAAAATGGAAAAACCTAATTAAGTATTTGTAAGGATGTAATGTCTTTTTAACTTTTTTCAGAATTTTCAATTTACATAACAATATATTTTAGATAAATATCTACAAAATCAATCCTAGAAATACTAAAATTTGTTAAATTACAAAAAATTTAAACTTCAATAAATCAGAGCATCAAGAATGATTCGCTTATATTATAAATTGATATCAAATTCAAATAAATTGATAAGAAGGATTTCTTCTTAAGATTAATTTATTAGGGATATTTATTTTATATCTCAAGATGAAAGCTATATAGTATCATTTAAGTTATCTTTTTATGAAATTTCAACTGGAAAAATAGCTTTCGAAATTAGACCAGATGGAAGTGAAGAGGTTTTAGATGTGAAAGTAGGGGATGGGTAAATAAAAAATTTTAACCTGGGAAAACATTTATCTATATGATGAAATTAATATCATCATTTTTGGATATAAAAGAATTATTAATATCTCGGCATTGCTAAATATTATATAATTAAGATTTAGATTATAATTATGAATTTAAAATACCTGAACGACATTTGAAATCTCTACCTATCTTAAGTATTATTATATCATGAACTTTACAAATTGATTTTGACAAAAATTTCTTTCTTCATTCTTAATCTTAACATTTTAATTTATTAATTATTCATATTAATTCCCCTTTTATCAATAATCATAATTGTTATTAATACAATAAATAAAAGTTTATGAAGTTAAATTTCTATCTGGGATTCCTCCAATTTTGCTTTGTATTTTCTCAACCTACTTGGAGTACTATTTACTCTCTATTACCAGGTTTAAATGGAACAGATAGTATTATTCAAATTTTCTAATTAGGTTGGTTTAAAAATCATTTATATGGTGGCCCAATAAGTAGTTGTAGTGGTTATGACTCATTTGGAGGGCGCCGTGTATTTGGTCCAAATACCTTAATTTCTTTAAATCTTAAACTTCCACCACATTATTCAGTAAGAATCTCATTCGCATTTTTGAGGTATAAAATAAGTTTTCATTAAAATTGAATGTTGGAATGGTGAATCTTTCTAATTAATATACGATAATGATGCCGAAATAGATAAGTTTGGAAGTGAGAATGATTGCAATGGAGAATCAGATGAGAATTAGGTTTAACCCTTTATTTTTACTTTATAATCACATTTTTCCTAATCTCTTGTGTTAATAATGACGACAAATGTAAATACAGAATACGTATATATTTTGTAATTCTAGAAACCATGGGGAATTAGGGAGTTCAAAATTGAAATTCAAGAATGTCCTGAAGGTTGCTTATTTTGCTAAGACTATATATCTGATTGCAAATTATGGAATCATATTGCATCATATTGGCAAAACTCAATTAACTCAGAAGGATGGCTAATTGATAACAATCAATTACTTACTTCAAGTTTTTGTGCTGGCATCCAGATTGCAGGTGGAACTAATATTCTGTAATAAGGACAGAGTATTAAAAAAGTCATTCAAAATGTTCCAAATCACTTTAAAATTTAGATAGTTCTTAAACTTTGGGTAATGGGAATTACATAGAGTTAAAATTTAAATTTAAAAATTGGTGAGTAAGGTTGGTATACTAAAATAGATGCTCAGTATACATTAGCTATTGAATGTGTAAATTCACAATAAGTGAATATCTATAATATAGCCTTAAATATAGATCATTCATCTCCTGAAATAGAATTTAAAATGTTTATAGAGAATAATAAACCACAAATTCAATTTTGGGGTGTTTCATCATTTGATTTATACGTTGCTTAATGTTCAATTGGTTGTGAAGAATGTAATGAAGGATTAGAAACCTAATGCAGTAATTGTTTAAAAAAATGGGGACTTAAAGATGGTAAATGTATTCCTGGTATAAATTGATATAAATTCAATAAGCTCCTCCATTAGAATATACTAATATTAGAATCTATTAATCATAAGGTTTAAAAATAAATTTTATTAATTCATTTTAATTGTACATCCAGGAATTAGATCAAACTATTACTACAATTGGTTAGAACAAACTAATTATAGATAAGAGTATTATATTTAGCTCTTTTTTAATTTCAGTTAAATGTTAAGATAAAATGAAAATTGAAAGCTTTTTTAGAAATTGTAACTAATGTGATAATGATTAAATTTCTTTTTCAAATTATTGTCTTAATGAAAGTAACATTGTAAATTTCAGTGTAATATTTGCGGATACTGTTTAATCTGAAAAAGAATTAATAATTAATATTTCACAAACTAAAGTAGAAATTCTATAGGTAATATTATAGAATGGTATTGAAACTGAAGTTCAGATAATGAAAATTGAATTATGATTGATGATTTAATCTAGATTAAGTTATAAATTATTGATTTTCATAAAAATCGATTAATATTTATTCTAAAAGATTCATCATTAATTTGATTTTATTAAAATTGTATCATTAATCTCAGTTTAGATGGTTTATCATTACTTAATCAATTGAAGGTGTATTCCTAAAAAGAGATAAAAATATAAGTAAGGAATAAACATCCTTTTTAAAAGTACAATTAAATAAGAATTGTATTACAAAATGCGAAAACTATTCATCAAAAAATCCAATAATTGATACCATTTATTTCTAAGGAGTTCTAAATAACAGTTCCTCACATTTCTGTTTCTTTGAGATAATATTTTATAGAAAATAACAATGATAATGATCTAAATGTAAACATCACAATCCAAATTTAGCATCTTAATCCAAAATCAATTATTCTGAATAAATGCTTACTTTTTGAAATTAGTTATAAACTCAATAAAGTTAACTATACTTTACAGCTAATCTTTCAAAAATATATCAATCTTAAGCCAATCAGATAAAACAGGATTACTTGTTTTGATTTAAATTAATGCTTTATCTATAAAACAATTTCATAGTTCATATGTGAAGTATATTATTAAAAATGAAATTGTATATTTTAATTAATGTTAATTTTGCATCTATTTATTTTCGAAGCATTTTAAATAAGCGATTATTTATTTGGATACTAATTGTTAGATTGTTCAGGAAGACATGTATAAGTTACTTTTCCAAAATAATTTAAAGAAATTCCTCAAATTATTCTTACTCAAGCCTCAATTAATATTTTATCGAAGAAGATGACTTCCGATTTGAAATAAATCAACCTAATTTATAAAAGTATTCTTTTAATTGATTTGTTATTAAGATTAAAGAAATAATTGGAATTGTTGTTATTTTAGAGATCTTATAGTAGTTTCTCATCTTAATGCACTTGTGATAATAAAATTAAATTAATAGAATGCAATATGGAATTAATTGTTGAAAGCGTTGTCATTCAAGAGATAATAATTATCATAGAAAATTCAAATTTCTAAATAAAGTAGATACTCTATAATTAAATTGTTGAATATATAATTTTATTTAATGAATTTGAAATATGAAATTAATTTTTAAACTTAATTTTTATCTTTATATATTTTCATACAATTCTAAAAATACTTCATTAATAGAATTATTAATCTAATTAAAAATCATAAATCACTTTTCTGTTTCTATTTTTATGCTTTGAAAGTTGAAAAATGAATATTTATCAATATTTAATTTGATGACATCAACTTTTCTATTCATCAAATATTACTATTTAAAATTATTTTAAATAATTTTATAAAATATTTGCGAATCTCCACAATTTTAAAAACATGTAAAATAGTGAGAGTAATAGAGAGAGATGGAGGAATTATTATAAACAAAACTCAACATTAAAGATATTTGGGTATTATCAAATTAAAGCTTAAGAATTTAAATGAATATGGAGTTGATAAAATAAATTTTCATTTAGAAAAAGATATTATAGAGATATATAAAGTAAACCAACAATAACAAAATTTTCATCATTAGAAAAGATGCGTAAATAAATATAATAATACATTTCAATATGAAAAGAAAAATAAGAATATTGAAATTCTTTGAAAATTTAAAATAATTGACTGAACTATATTGTAATTTGAGTAAGATAATAATTTTATTGATGAAAATAAAAAAGCAATATCAATTATTGTTTAATAATATACTGAGTATTTTTAGACATTGATATGGAGTCTTGAAATAAGAAAATTGTCAGTAAATAATGGATAGTTTACAAGAGAGATCTCCTAAGATATTATAACAGTATTAAATGGAAAGTAAGGATAAAAAGTCTGATTTATTCAATTAAATTACTCAAATGAGATAAAATTAATAATAGCATACAAGTAAGTAATCTGATTAAATAAAATTTAAAATTTAGGGTAATTAAAAGGAAATATTACATACTTGGTGTTCGAATCTCTCTATTATATGTTAGAGAACAATGAAATCTCAGAAATTAATAAATGGATCAATTAAAATGATTAAGATTAAAAGCTGTTTAAAGAGAACTTTATTAAATTAATCAAGAAAAATTAGAAAAAGAATAATAATATATTAATTATTAAAAACAATAGATATTATATTTAATAAGTTATATAGTTAAGTATTGAATATAAATAAATAAATAGACAAACTATAATAATCAATTATAAACTATTATTTATACTTAAATATAAATAGATACATCATATATTTCATAATATTAAGATTTGATATTGAAATCAAATATACAAGACAAGTAATGTTAATAAACAGAAAGATATTTTATGCAATACAGTGATAATGTATCATCATAGGAATTATTGGAATCCTGAAGATTTGTTAGTTTTGTAATGATAGGAGATATTGT